CTTTGAATCAATCTGACTGGATGATCTGGTGAACTGTAAAGTGCCTTGAGATGATACGTGTTGTGCATTGGATCAGTGGCGGTTCTACACCAAAATGTACCAGGGGGCCAGGAGGGGGGCAGCGTGTTTTCATGGGGGCACAGAAAAGCATCAAATAAAAATCAGGACAAGGGATTCAAATATATTAAGAGAGCTAGATGAAGTGACATTTCTATTCAAATAGATAAAATTATATGTCTTATTACGTCAATATACATTCAGAATCAGGAATTTTACATAATTCTGATTTAATTTAAGCTAAAATTACCATTTTCTATAAAATTTGAATTAGAACTCTTGAAAAACTGATAAATTAGGTTGTAAAAATTAAAGCAATTTGTTTTGAATAAAATGTTTAGCAGATTAAAACTGGGATCCTGTCTCAATACCAGTGAAACGATCACCTTATTGTTTTAAAATAAACAGCAAAACAGAATTTGTAAAGAAAAAGGACCTATCAGAAACCATGTCTGTTCCAGCCATACTATCATTAGAATTTCTTTGAGTATTATGTCTTCAGTACAGGGGCACTGGTCCCCTTTGGCCCCTGTCTAGAACCGCCCATGAATATAACCGCTATATAAATAAACTGAATTAAATTGAATGAATAGTAATAGTAAAATATTTCAGTGTAAATGTTTTACATCATCGTTAATTTCTACATTTAAGCAGTCAGATTTTAATGGAATTAAAAATCCTTTTGGCTAAACNATCATCAGATGAGGCTTTTCCTTCTCAACAAGTCAAAGAACTGTAATTAGAAACTAAAAAAAGAGAAGTGGAAGTAAAAACTTCTCAAAAATGGATCTATCAGACTTTCTGATCTATGAGGTTGTATGAACAGAAAATGTTACTCTTCTCACCACTTCTCCTCTTCTGAGTACTGAGTCGTCGGCCTGCAAAAGCAAACACACATTAACATCAGCAGATAAAGAGGTTTTTTTTATCGGGTATTAACTCAGACACTCACAGGATGTCCTCGATCCTTGCGAGGATGTGTTCCGCACAGGCGCATTCCTTCTCCAACGCCGGCAGGTCTTTGCCTCCATCTATGTCCAGCCTGGACAGCTCGTCTTCAGCCAGGGTCAGACCCATACTACGCTTCTGCCTGCAGGCACAGACTTCCAGTTTGATTTCTTCCAACACACTCAGACTCCTTTAAAACTTCAGACTGGACCATTTATCCATGGGATGTTACCTGAAGTCTTCCAGGTTTTTGTGGAGATCTGAACGAAGTGAATCTTGTAACGCCTGAGTGTATTGTTTACACAGCTCCTCTGGGATCAGCTCCAGCCTCCGCTTCTCTAAAACACACCAGTACTCATCAGTCATCTCTGTCAGTCTTATTCTCACCGAGAACACAGTTTAAATACTTTAAGGAGAAATGTAGGAAAAAGAAACATTTACAAAGAAAATGCAAGAATCCACGAGAGAGGTGACATTGAATTAGATAGATCGTATATAGATCCAATCCTATCCTCCATAGACCCTACACAGATCCGTCTGACATCACTGCGGCCAAGCAAACATGAATGATGTGCACTGCTCACTGCTGCTTACCTTATCAAAGCTGCACTTTCACTGCAAAAAATTGAAATCTTAAGTCATTTTCTCTTAAAATAAGTGCATTTTGTCTTGAATTGAGGAAGTAAGTGAGACACTTTGCCAATGGAAGAAGACAATTTACATTTAAAACAAGACAAATAATTGCATTATCTTATCTTAAGAGTAAAAATACTCATTCCATTGGCANAGGTGACATTGAATTAGATAGATCGTATATAGATCCAATCCTATCCTCCATAGACCCTATCCAGATCCGTCTGACATCACTGCGGCCAAGCAAACATGAATGATGTGCACTGCTCACTGCTGCTTACCTTATCAAAGCTGCACTTTCACTGCAAAAAATTGAAAACTTAAGTCATTTTTTCTTAAAATAAGTGCATTTTGTCTTGAATTGAGGAAGTAAGTGAGACACTTTGCCAATGGAAGAAGACAATTTACATTTAAAATAAGACAAATAATTGCATTATCTTATCTTAAGAGTAAAAATACTCATTCCATTGGCAGATCATCTTATTTACCTACTGAAATTAAGGGTAAATACACTTAATTTAAGAAATTGTTACTTATTTCAAGATCGTTTTTGCAGTGATAAAAAATGAAATTGTCTAGAGAGCTGTTCTAAACCAAATTTATTTTTGTTTTCACTTGTGTAAACAAAATGACAAAATAAATCTGTCTAAGTCTTGAATTAAACAAGAAAAAAAGGTCAATTCACAACTTAACAAAGGTGGGGGGGTTCACATAGATTATGAGATTTTTGGGTAATTTTTATAACCTAAAAGAGTACGCAAATGACAATAAAAACTGCAGATATAACAGGTTTATGTGTGGTGCCATAATGTATACACACACACACATATACATATATATATATACATACACATATATATATATACATATACATAGATATATTTATATATACACACACATATACATATACATATATATATATATATATATACACACATATATATATACACATATACATAGATATATTTATATATACACACACATATATACATGTATATATATATTTATATACATACATAAATATAGTATAATTATTTTTGTTTGAATGTTTTTTCTATTTTATTAACCTAAAATCTGAAGTCTAGCAAACATTCAGTATTTTTTTTTTAAAGTTTTGATGAGTTATAGCTGTTTCTATTTATTTTTATATATGTGTTTTTCACTGTAAAATTCTTACTGTTGTATTTTTGGGTAGACAATTTTAAGATCTGTCCTGGGACAACAGATGAAAAATAGCCTTTTGGCTGCTACTTCTGATGCATGATTATTTATTCAAATAAATAAATACATCTAAATCTAAAGAAAATAACTATATTTAGAAAACCAAAGCTCATTTACATTCTGTATTTTTGACATTTCAGTGCACAAGAATAACGTTTATATACATGATAAATGTTGGACGCCTTACCTAACTCGGCTGAAACTGATTCAGGTACTGGTACCTTCAGGTTCTGGAGAAAAAAAAAGAAAAAGAAGTCAAAAACAGAAAAGAGAAATTTATTTATGAACCAAACAGAGAGAGACGACTGAGAAAATGAGAACAGACCAAAGAAATGAGAAGAAAAGTCAAACTTACTGCTGTTCGATCTAAGAAGATAGAATGGAACTCCATGAAGGAACGCCGGCTTTCCTTGGAGCTGGTTTGCTTATGCATTTCAGCATAGAGATAACAAAGCTGATAGAACAGATACAAACTATAAATCACTTTTATTTATTTTCCTATTTTGCAGCCTAGACATAGAAAAACAGCTGTTCATTAATAATGGCGTCCTTCACGCCTCTATATATGATGCTGTTTGATTATTAGTAAACTTTGAAAGATATTTTCCAGATACCTTTGTTTATTCTCCGGTCAAACATTAAATCGTTTTCTTTGCTAGTCAGGATGTCGATGTCAATTCATCCTTAACCCCTTAAGCCCAGTGGGCCCGGTACACGGCCCAAACGACACCTGATCATGTTTATTTACTTATAGAAATGGCCCAAACACAGTCACATGGTGTGTCATCCACTCGCCTTTCAAATGGGGCTTTAAAATTTCTAAAACATATTTCAAAATTATTTTTTTTAACAAATACACTGGAAAAAAAATCTAAATCTAGATAAGTAATCTTTTCTTAAAATAAGTGCATTTGTTCTTGGATTGAGGAAGTAAAAGAGACATTTTGCCAATAGGACAAGACTATTTACATTTGAAATAAGAAAACACAATTCCATTGCCTTATTTCAAGTGCATATTATCCAATTATCTTATTTTAAGAGTAAAAATACTCATTCCATTGGCAAACTATCTTATTTACCTACTCAAATTAAGTGTAAATACACTTGATTTAAGACATTTTTACTCATTTCTAGATTGTTTTTTCAGTGTACTTTTTGTTTTATAGCTGTTTAAACAAATAAAATGAGAAATTCCACCGTACGTGTGTGACTCTGCGGGGGTAATGCAACAGCAGGTGTTCATTTTTAGCCACGCCCAGTAGTTGAGTTGTAAAAAGAAAAAGATGGGGGATGGTGATTTTTTTTTTGGAAACAAACATAGCCTAATTAATAAATTCTATTAACCTAATATGCATGGTCTGGTTGTTATATGTCAGGTACGCCGGTGTTGTGCCGAGAATTACCCCCCCCCGTGGCATGGCATCGCCATATACTCATGACCATTTATGAGAAAACGGATTGAAATATGAATGAAAAGGGAAATTATAAACATATTCTTAATGTTTTCATATTTCTTAAACATGGATGCCTTAAAATTGATAGTGTTGGTGGACAGATAAATCAGAAATAATAGGATTTTACTTATATGGAGACACGTTTCAGTCGATGTGCTACAGTCGGGGTGCGATTAATAAAGTTTCTGCTCAGTGGATGCCAGTTCCTCATTTTGCTATCAGCACCATTCTAGATGATTTCTGAAGCTTTATTTGTTAAACTTAGAACCTGCTGAAGATTCTCTCCCCTCCTTATTTTCACATTTATTGTCCCAGACTTATGAAATTCAAACCACAATCACAGAAAACAATGATTATGTGGAGAGACTTGCATCATTGTAAACACATTATTTTTCAAACTAAGCGGGGGAGGGAGATCACGGCAACTTAGAACCTGAAACCTGCGGAAGATTCCCTCCCCTCATTATTTTCACATTCCCTCAAATCGCGTTGTCTTTGTCGTTTGGCCGTGATGCTGTTCAGAACACCGTTACCTGCTCTGCTGGTTGCGCCACTGAGGTTGAAAATGAAAGCACATGTGCCCTCTGGGCCACCGTAATTTGGTCAGGCTACTCGTAAACGCACAGCCTGCCAAATGCTGAAAGGGCGATATTATTACTGTTAATATATAATAGAAATCCACACATTCAGTGATAAAATGTCACAGGGGATGGTATGGGGGGTGGTCATTTACGAAAGGGGATGATTTTTAAGATTTTTTTTTAAGTAGGGGGGTGCCACCACCTAGCCTGGGTGCCATTCCGAACTTAGTCCCGCCCACAACGTTTGAGGTCGGGAAGTTCGGTCTGGCATTGCTCAACAGTAGCGCTAGTATGCTAGGTCAATATCTGGCGGGCCAATCCAATTGTCACGG